AAGATGCCCAAGGTGAAAATGCCCAAGTTCAGCATGCCTGGCTTCAAAGCAGAGGGCCCTGAGGTGGATGTGAACTTGCCCAAGGCCGACATTGATGTCTCAGCACCCAAGGTGGACATTGAAGGTCCTGATGTTAACATTGAAGGACCAGAAGGAAAACTAAAAGGTCTGAAGTTCAAGATGCCAGAGATGAACATCAAAGCCCCAAAGATCTCTATGCCTGATGTGGACTTACACTTGAAGGGCCCTAAAGTCAAGGGAGACGTGGATGTGACCTTGCCAAAATTGGAAGGAGATTTGAAAGGCCCCAGTGTGAATGTGGAGATGCCCGATGTTGATCTGCAGTGTCCTGATGCGAAGCTGAAGGGTCCCAAGTTCAAGATGCCAGAAATGCACTTCAAGGCCCCCAAGATCTCTATGCCTGATGTGGACTTACACTTGAAGGGCCCTAAAGTCAAGGGAGATGTGGATGTGACCTTGCCAAAATTGGAAGGAGATTTGAAAGGCCCCAGTGTGGATGTGGAGATGCCCGATGTTGATCTGCAGTGTCCTGATGCGAAGCTGAAGGGTCCCAAGTTCAAGATGCCGGAAATGCACTTCAAGGCCCCCAAGATCTCTATGCCTGATGTTGATTTCAACTTAAAGGGACCTAAAATCAAAGGAGACATTGGCGTTTCTGCTCCAAAGCTTGAGGGAGAGTTAAAGGGTCCCGAATTTGATGTCAAGGGCCCCAGGATGGATGTTGACATCCCAGATGTAGCTGTTGAAGGCCCAGATGGCAAGTGGAAAAGTCCTAAGTTCAAGATGCCCGACATGCACTTTAAAGCTCCCAAAATCTCCATGCCAGACATTGATCTACACTTAAAAACTCCCAAGGTAAAGGGTGAGGTGGATGTAGATGTTCCCGAATTGGAAGGAGACCTAAAAGGGCCACGTGTGGACATCAAAGTACCGGATGTGGACTCGAAGGGCCCCAAGGTAGATGTAAGTGTTCCAGATGTTCATAGCCCAGACTGGCACCTGAAGATGCCCAAGGTGAAAATGCCCAAGTTCAGCATGCCTGGCTTCA